AGGAAAGACAGAAAGAGAAAATAAAAAAGAATAGACAATGGAAAGAAAGAAGAGAAGATGAAAGAAGGAAAAGCAAAGAATAACACAATAAAAAAAGAAGAGAAATAATAGAATAATAAACGAAGAATAAGGGTCGTCTGGCGTCGTCAGGCCAAATTTGAGTACCCGTTCATCGATGAATTGAAGTTCGTCAGGAAACTAGTGCCCCGTCGTCAACATGACGTCATCTTGCTACATCGCAGCGTAAATCAGAAAGTAAAAACAAAAAGAGAAAGTGATAGAATGATTAAAAAAAAAAAAAAGAATAACATAAGACAAGCTGATAGAAGGAAGAAACAAAGAATAACATAAGGAAAGACAGAAAGAGAAAATGATAGAATGATAAAAAACTAAGAATAACATAAGGGGAGGTGATAGAAGGAAGAAACAAAGAATAACATAAGGAAAGACAGAAAGAGCCAAGTGATAGAATGATAAAAGCAAAGAATAACATAAGAGAAGATGATAGAAGGGAAAAAAACAAAGAACAACATAAGGAAAGACAGAAAGAGAAGGTTATAGAAGGAAGAAACAAAGAATAATATAAAGAAAGACAGAAAGAGAAAGTGATAAAATGATAAAAGCAAAGAATAACATAAGAGAAGATGATAAAAGGAAGAAAACAAAGAACAACATAGGGAAAGACAGAAAGAGAAGGTTATAGAAGGAAGAAACAAAGAATAATATAAAGAAAGACAGAAAGAGAAAGTGATAGAATGATACCACAAAAAATAACATAAGAGAAGGTGATTGAAGAAGAAACAAAGAATAACATAAGGAAAGGCAGAAAAAGAAGGTTATAGAAGGAAGAACAAGGAATAACATAAGGAAAGACAGAAAGAGAAAGTGACAGAATGATAAAAACAAAAAATAACATAAGAGGAAGATGAAAGAAGGAAGAAACAAAGAATAACACAAGGAAAGACAAAACGAGAAGGTTAAAGAAGGAAGAAACAAAGAATAACATAAGGAAAGACAGAAAGAGAAAATGAGACAATACAGAAGAAAATGGAAAGATAGAAGAGAAGATGAATGTGACAGAAAGAGAAAGTGATAGAATGATAAAAACAAAGAATAACATAAGAGAAATTGAAAGAAGGACAAAACAAAGAATAACATAAGGAAAGACAGAAACATAAATTGATACAAAATAGAAGAAAATGGATAGATAGAAGAAAAATTGAATGATAGAAAAACAAAGAATAACGTAAGGAATCATAGAAAGAAAAGTATAGAACGATAAAACAAAGAATAAGAAAAGGTGATAGAAGGAAGAAACAAAGAATAATTTGAGGAAGATAGAACGAAAATATGATAGAATGATAACAACAAACAATAACATGAGGAAAGACAGAAAGAGAAAATAAAAAAGAATAGACAATGGAAAGAAAGAAGAGAAGATGAAAGAAGGAAAAGCAAAGAATAAGACAATGAAAATAGAAGAGAAATAATAGAATAATAAACGAAGAATAACATACGAAGTGAAAGAAGGAGAAACTGAATGAGCACGTGCGGGGGGGCCATTACGTCATCGTGTAGAGAACGAGCGTGGACTAAAAACGAAAAGGGTTATACACTAATGAACAGGACAGTATGATGACGTTAGTTTGCAGCTAGGCAGGAATATTTTGTCTAGGGAGAAGGTCGTTCACCCCCTAAAAAAAAGTGGTAGGGCAAAAAGCATTTTCGCACCACTCCCTTCCCCCGCCCCCTCCCTTCCCCGCCCCTCTCCCTTCCCGCTCCCCATTACACATCCCCCTTCGCCCCCTTCCCTCCTCCCCCAAAAGCCCCCCTCCTCAAAAAAAATCATCAGTAAAAGAGTAAAGATCGTTTGTAATTTTTTAACCAAAAACAAAATGAAAAATAATAACACCTGAAATGAATCACATACAAATTCAAAATATATTCCATTAAAAAAAAGGGGTAAACAGGAATTGAATTTCCCACACATCCCGCATGCCCCTACATTTTTCAATGGAGGAAATATTGAGAGAGGATGGGAAAGATTGCTTTTTTTGTTTAGTTATAGGGGTGAGAATACAAGAGCCCCTTAACGATGGCTACTGATGGGGGGGGGGGGGCGGGGGACATATTTTAACGTTTTTTTTTACCCTCTAATATAATACCAGAGATTTACAAATTTAGCTGAAATGACATGATTTTCCCCCAAAAAATCGTTATTTTTTCTGTAAATTATACTTTCCCAAATTTACAGTTAGACAACAAATATGCTTATTTAGAATCCTTTATGTCACGGCCTGCATAACGACGGGGCTCGGGGGTTCGAGAGTTTAAGCCCCCCCCCCCCCCCCCCCCCCCCCCGCCCCTCACACATACTTTTTTGAAAAAAGTATATTATAAAAAGAGAGAGACAGAAAGAATAAGTGACCTGCCTGTGTCACAACTCAGGTATCTAAATATGCTCATCTGACCGTAATTGAATGCCTAATATCCCAGAGATTTAAGGGAGCTCCTACCAAAGGCCCTAAGGTAGGCAACTGGATGCTCATCTGACCGTAATATAATACCTTAACATATGGAAACGTTGTACCATCCACTCATTCTGATTTGCGTGCATAGAAAAAGTAAACATTTTTTTACATGAAAAAGTGAAGTTTTCAAAAAAGTGCGTTTTGTTTCATTTCATTTTTATTTTTTCATTTCCAACAAAATACAATACATGATAACGAATAAAATGTAAAATGTATTAAAAAAATACTTACATTTGTAATATACAAATCTTAATAGTAATTTATACATTTTAGGAATACAAAAAATGTATTTTAAAATTTAACTGCATTTATATTTTGAGGAAATGGAGACCATTGAAAAGCAGAGCTTGTAAAATTGTGGACCCCTCAGATAATAATGAGTGTGAAAAGAATATGAAATACATAATTAATCAAAGAAGAATAGCGGCCAACAGAGAACATTTATTAAAACACGTACTGACTGTAAACAAGAAGACGTAACAAATTACATGACGAAGAAAGAACAGAAAAAAGAAGGAAAAAAATATGGGCTGCGTTTGGAGGGAAGGAGAGGAGAGAAAAGGAAAATTGTAGAGATCGAGCACGAAATAGGGAGCGCACAAAATCCTTGAGATAGCTGAAACAAAAAGAGCAAGAACATGATGGCAAGTAGTTTTGTTTTTAGAGATGGGCAGAAGAAAAAAAGGGAAAGAAAAAAATTGGGAAGGAGATGTTCTATCACAATAAATTTCTAAATATTATAAGATTGTAATAAGTAAAATTTTAACTTTTAAAAAAAAGGCAATTAGTGAAGGGGAAGCTTTCAAATCGTTATGCAGAGTATTCCAAAATTAGGGCCTTCAAAAATGAACGTGTTCTGTGCAGAACATGTTCTCAAAAGAGGTAAGTAAAACTCATCGGATTGTCGAGTGGGGTATCTATGAACAGCAAGGTTTTTAAGAAACATATCATTAAACAGAGATATTATAAGATTGTAATAAGTAAAATTTTAACTTTTTTAAAAAGGAAATTAGTAAAGGGGAAGCTTTCAAATCGTTATGCAGAGTATTCCAAAAATTAGGGCCTTCAAAAATGAACGTGTTCTGTGCAGAACATGTTCTCAAAAGAGGTAAGTAAAACTCATCGGATTGTCGAGTGGGGTATCTATGAACAGCATGGTTTTTAAGAAACATATCATTAAACAGAGATGGCAGTATACCATTATTGTAATTAAACATAAATTGATCGAGCTGAAATAAGTACAAATCCTTAATTTTTAAGATGTTATTTTCAAAAAACAGAGGATCAGTATAAGAACGTACGGGGGCATTACATATAATACGAATAACTCTCTTTTGCAACAATGGAACTCTTTCCAACAACGTATGATGTGTATTGCCCCAAACTAGAAGGTCGTAATTCGAATATGGCAAGATCAATGAAGAATACAGCATAAATAATGATGATTGTGGTATTAAGTACAATTTTAGTTTATTAATAATACCAATATTGCGCGAAATGATTTTACAAATATTATCAATGTGTGGTTTCCAAGAAATTTTATTATCGACTATTATACCCAAAAATTTGGAAAGAGGGACATGTTTCAAAGGGGTATTGTCAAAAATAATGTCAGAGGGTAATGAATCCAAAGAGTTACTAAATAGCATGTAGTTCGTTTTCTGGAGATTAGGTGACAATTTATTAATGCTTGTATCCATTGCAATATATTTAAAAACTCGGCATTGATTTTATCAACTAGGACGTTTGGATGTTTGTGTGAAAAAAATTAATTACTATAATCTGCAAATAAAATAACGATAGGGAGTTTATAGAAGGTTTACAAAAGTCATTTATATAAAGAATAAAGAGTAGCGGGCCTAGCAGACTACCTTTTTGGACACCACAACTAATATTTCATAATTCAGATGCATGCTCGTTTAAGTGTACATATTGCTGTATGTTAGAGAGGTAACTCCTAACCACTCCAAGGCCTTTCCACGTACACCATAGTGACATAGTTTGTAAAGTAAAATTTCGTGATTGATCGTGTCAAGGCCTTGGAGAAGTCCAGGAATATACCTACAGTGTGTGACGATGTATCAATTGCGTGGACAACCTTCTCAACAAAAGACATCAAAGCATGAACGGTGCTGTGCTTTTCTCTGCAACCAAATTGGAAGTTTGAAAATACATCATATTTTTTTAAAGGATATCATCCGGATATAGATTATTCTTTCCAAAACTTTAGAAAATGAAGATAATAAAGAAATCGGGCGGTAGTTACCCACATCCAGTTTATCACCCTTTTTAAATAACGGAATAATTTTGGCTATTTTCATAGAATTAGGAAATTTACCATGTAAAAGTAATACATTAAAGATGTTAACCAATAGATCTGCAATAAAGTGAATAATGGATTTTAGTATGACATTATTGATTCCATCATATCGTCGTTGATTTTACGAACCGTCATAAACCACTTTTTTTCTGTCAAATTTCCGAAATTCAGATTTTTATACATTTTGAAAGCCTGTCCTCCACTCTATCGACTGGCGAAATTTGAGACCATAATTCGGTTTATTTTAAGAATAAGAGCAAATTCAAATTTCACCGAAAACGTCCTATCGCCTCGAGTAATTTTACGAAGTGACCTAAACCTTCGTGACTGTTCGTAAAATCACAGTTGGCGCGCTATGTTTTGTTACGATCCGTCCTATCCAGTGTAAACAAGACCACGGACTCATCGAACTTTACTTACAAGGGAAATCACACTATTTTCAGGAGCTGATCGCCGTGGTAAGCATTTCTCCTCAATGTTCTGTATGTTTTAACAACTATATAATATATTCAACCTAAGCTAAAATCCCGTGATAGGGATAAAATAGGTCCTTGCTTAAAACATATCGTCTGCTATTTATTATGCAGTCCCATTCATATAAATTTCCGTAGGGTTGTATGTTGTTATATTATCATGTTTATGTAGAATCATTTCAGATCTACTAGAGATATGATGACTGTAATTATAGCTGTATTTCGAACGTCAGTGTCATGCTAGAGTTAAATTGTCTTGAATAAATTAAGTTAACAAAGTAAAGATCGGACAAATATCTTTCATTTTGTTGTTACTGTCTGGTGCATGGTGTGGACGTCATTGTTTTTTGTTTTTGTAGATCTAGAATCTAAAAGTAAGACCTACTTTTTCTTTTGTTAATAGATCTATTATCAATGGCAATGGTAACAAGGTTGTCTCATACTAGACTCTAGTTCACAACTGAGTGAAAAGATTTAACAAGAGAAAGCGTAATAAAACGGTAATAGATGTGTATAGACTCTAGACCCTACCTGTTAATAGTAGGTCTAGCTCTAGACTAGACTCTAGACCTAGAATCTAGTCTACTAAATAAAGTTTTTTGTAGTCTAGACTAGTACTACTAGGATCTAGGCCTATATTCTAGTATATATCTAGACCTCTACATGAACTCCATACATGAAGCTATTGAGTTAGATTTGCATGTCTATACTAGTCTAGATCCTCAAATGTGTTGATGTGATGGCTATGGCCTAGATAGACTTTTCTATGTACATTAAATCTGATATAGACCTCTAGATCTAGATCTATTTTTATATCTAGGAAAGCTTGCTCACCAAAATTATTTTTGGATAGATCTACATGAGTGTTAGAAAATAGGAAGCATTGTGAAGTTCATCTAGTAGAGGCAAGATTCCTACTTTTAGGCCCAAACTTACAAAGGAGGTTTAAATTTAATCTATAGCTTAAATCTTCATTTACATGACCCATGGTCTAAAATTAACGCAAAATAAGCGTGACACAGTCCAAGGTCTAATATTAGACCTGTGCTAGGCAAGGTACGCTTAAGTGGCACTAATTCGAAACCAAGGGTTATGTAAATGAGGGTTTAAACCATGGGTTAAAAATAAACCGCCATTCTGTCTAACTCTTTACATTTTTTTGTTTGGTTTTTATTCTAGGAACAAATCCTTGCATGGATGAGATTGATGTGGTGGTCCAGTGGGACCGCGACAAGTCCAAAAACACAGTGGCCTTGAACGACCTGGTGCTGAGGAAGAATGCTTCCCTGAAAATTGGAGCTACTGTAAAGATGAAATGGAGAAAGGGGTGGTGGAAAGGGAGGGTGGAGCAAATTATCTCTAACCGTGAAGAGGAGCCGATGGACATTGAGGGGGAAGGCATGACCGAAGAAGATGATAGTGAGGAAGATGAAGAGGATGATGATGAAAATGTACCATTGGCATCATATGGTAAGTAAATCAAATTACAGACCATTTATATTTAGATGAACATGTGATAGCATTCTAAAATCCACATTAAGACTTGTCAGTCTATGATGGATGTTTATTTTTAATATAATAAAAAGGACTAGTGAACTCAGCCTGTACTTTACGGGGTTGTCAGTATTGTTGAGATGTACAGTATAGTAGTGATGTATTTACTGCCTTCAAATAGTTCAGCTTTATTTTTATTGGGGGGGGGGGGGGCTGTACGCTCTCTTTAACACGTTTTATATGCAATCGAACAGAATATGCTGCATCCCTCAACAAGTTAAAAATACAAATTTTGTTTTTGTTTACTATATATAATACAATAAACCTTTTTTCTTCTTCATTCAAGCCATATGGCCCAGATAAAGACTATTTGGAATGTTTGTTCACATTTGTTTTCATTTTCTTTAATATCACAGTGAAACGCATCTGCTCCATTCCACAAATCGAAGGTATGAACTGATTCTATGCATTTTTATATCTTTGTGTTTTCTTAATTCGTCAAGGAGATCACTATAACATTGAACTTATCTGGCAATTTAAATTGTGGGATAATTCAAGCTATGGCTTAAATTAATCCAAGGTCATGGCCGTGGATGCCCTTTTGATTGGCCTCAATGCCCCTCCCATTGTCCTTGGAGATTTTTTGTGCCCTTTCCAATTCTTCCTATTTGTGCTGTTATATAGGAATGTGCCCTACAGAAAAGTGGCCTTGCCCTAAAAATATTGATATTTAAGGCATGATATAACCTGTATAACAAATGTGAGTTAGGTACAGCAAGGAACATGGTTTAATTCAGTTTATAAAGTTTTCCTTGTATTAAGTTGTACATTGAAATAATATTTTCTATATATGATTTATACTACTATACCTCGTGGTCATTTCATTTACCAGGTTTGAAAGTAACCTCTTGAAAATTGGGGCAAAACTGTGTACTAGTTACTCATTATCTCTGCGTTTTAACATATTATTTGGCCTCAGAAATGGAAGTCTTCACAGAGTTAAGTGCAGGAGGTCAAGGCTATGCAGTCCAACAAGAACAGCCTCGTACTGTAGTCCAGAGTCACCTTGCAGAAGAGCTAATGGATACTGAGGTGGAAGAGATTACTGAAGAGGAAGATAGTGAGGATGATGATGAAAATGTACCATTGGCATCATATCGTAAGCAAACCAGATCATTTATTAGATGAACATGTGATAGCATTCTAAAAAACACATTAAGCCTTGTCAGTCTATGATGGATGTTTATTTTAACATAATAAAGAGGACTAGTGAACTCAGCCTGTACTTTACACGGGTGTCAATATTGTTGAGATGTATATAGTGATGTATTTACTTCCTCCAAAAGGTTAAGCTCTGTTTCTACAAATGGAATCTGTCCTTTAGAACTAACACCTGACAACACCATCTGTGAATAATATTAGAAATCAGCCAAAGTTGTTTTATTTAGCGGTCAGCTTTATAGCAGCATGTAATCTGAAAATGTAATAATCCATGTATATCAACATTTGCACTTTTCTTTATTGCCATTATTGTTCATTACTTTCCACACTTTGTGCTCATCTAAATCATGCACACAATTTTGTTCATTTCTGTTTTTCATAATATCAGGAAGGGTAACACTGATCGAAGGCGGAGAAGGCTGTGCCGTCCAGCCAGACCATCCCTTTACAGTAGTCCAGAGTCACCTGGAAAAGAACTCCCTCCTTGAAGAATGTCCCAGGCTCCCCCCAAAATCTGCAACAGTGCAGGAACAAGGTAATTAAAGTAATAGATTTATTGTTGTTAGAAGTATAATAAAGCTATGCGTTTTTGTTCATTACTTTCCACACTTTGTGCTCATCTAAATCATGCACACAATTTTGTTCATTTCTGTTTTTCATAATATCAGGAAGGGTAACACTGATCGAAGGCGGAGAAGGCTGTGCCGTCCAGCCAGACCATCCCTTTACAGTAGTCCAGAGTCACCTGGAAAAGAACTCCCTCCTTGAAGAATGTCCCAGGCTCCCCCCAAAATCTGCAACAGTGCAGGAACAAGGTAATTAAAGTAATAGATTTATTTTTGTTAGAAGTATAATAAAGCTATGCGTTTTTGTTCATTACTTTCCACACTTTGTGCTCATCTAAATCATGCACACAATTTTGTTCATTTCTGTTTTTCATAATATCAGGAAGGGTAACACTGATCGAAGGCGGAGAAGGCTGTGCCGTCCAGCCAGACCATCCCTTTACAGTAGTCCAGAGTCACCTGGAAAAGAACTCCCTCCTTGAAGAATGTCCCAGGCTCCCCCCAAAATCTGCAACAGTGCAGGAACAAGGTAATTAAAGTAATAGATTTATTGTTGTTAGAAGTTTGATTAAGCTATGCGTTTTTGTTCATTACTTTCCACACTTTGTGCTCATCTAAATCATGCACACAATTTTGTTCATTTCTGTTTTTCTCATAATATCAGGAAGGGTAACACTGATCGAAGGCGGAGAAGGCTGTGCCGTCCAGCCAGACCATCCCTTTACAGTAGTCCAGAGTCACCTGGAAAAGAACTCCCTCCTTGAAGAATGTCCCAGGCTCCCCCCAAAATCTGCAACAGTGCAGGAACAAGGTAATTAAAGTAATAGATTTATTGTTGTTAGAAGTATAATAAAGCTATGCGTTTTTGTTCATTACTTTCCACACTTTGTGCTCATCTAAATCATGCACACAATTTTGTTCATTTCTGTTTTTCATAATATCAGGAAGGGTAACACTGATCGAAGGCGGAGAAGGCTGTGCCGTCCAGCCAGACCATCCCTTTACAGTAGTCCAGAGTCACCTGGAAAAGAACTCCCTCCTTGAAGAATGTCCCAGGCTCCCCCCAAAATCTGCAACAGTGCAGGAACAAGGTAATTAAAGTAATAGATTTATTGTTGTTAGAAGTTTGATTAAGCTATGCATTTTTGTTCATTACTTTCCACACTTTGTGCTCATCTAAATCATGCACACAATTTTGTTCATTTCTGTTTTTCTCATAATATCAGGAAGGGTAACACTGATCGAAGGCGGAGAAGGCTGTGCCGTCCAGCCAGACCATCCCTTTACAGTAGTCCAGAGTCACCTGGAAAAGAACTCCCTCCTTGAAGAATGTCCCAGGCTCCCCCCAAAATCTGCAACAGTGCAGGAACAAGGTAAATAAAGTAATAGATTTATTGTTGTTAGAAGTATAATAAAGCTATGCGTTTTTGTTCATTACTTTCCACACTTTGTGCTCATCTAAATCATGCACACAATTTTGTTCATTTCTATTTTTCATAATATCAGGAAGGGTAACACTGATCGAAGGCGGAGAAGGCTGTGCCGTCCAGCCAGACCATCCCTTTACAGTAGTCCAGAGTCACCTGGAAAAGAACTCCCTCCTTGAAGAATGTCCCAGGCTCCCCCCAAAATCTGCAACAGTGCAGGAACAAGGTAATTAAAGTAATAAATTTATTGTTGTTAGAAGTATAATAAAGCTATGCGTTTTTGTTCATTACTTTCCACACTTTGTGCTCATCTAAATCATGCACACAATTGTGTTCATTTCTGTTTTTCATAATATCACAATATACTTCATTTTTTTCTCACATTCCTCACTTAAAAGAAAAAAACTGAGAACTTCAAGCATTTAATTTTAACCAACATCAGGCTGTAAAGTGTGTCCTATTTTTTCTTTTTGAACCACAGTTTATCTAATATATAAAGTACTTCTGCATTCTATTTGACAAACAGATATTCATGATCCAGACCAGCCAAGTTGTGAAAGCCTCCTTTGTGAAGGTGAGGTGTTTGCTGCTTGTTTCAGATGCCAAGCTTTACTATGTTTTGAACATTTTGATAATAGTGAAGAATGTGATTGCCATGGTCAGAATACCCAAGATCCATATCTTGAGAATTTCCAAGTTGATGGTTATGATGAAATCCTCGTACAAGAACATGAGAAAAACTGCAATGAAAATGTGCATTTGTCAAAATCTGGATCTGTAAAATCAAAAAATAAGATTGTTAAGGAACTTCGAAACAAAGGTGAGCCCTACCTATCAGAAAAATCAAGAAAAACAATGGCAGGACGTAAAAATCTGCCATTCAAGAAATGTGATAGTTACATGTGCGAGCTAAAAAGACTTGAATGTAACATCATCACTCAAGAAGTCATGAAAAACGTACGAGAGGATTTCTATGGATTGGGTACTCTGACTGGGCAAAGGGAGTACATAGCTAGACACATCAGCACTACTCCTAACAAGAAAGGATTACGTAAGAACTTAACCTATTTCCTGCCAAGTCCTATTAACCCTGGGCATAGATTGCCAGTGTGCCAAAAGACTTTTCTTACTACACTCGGCATAAGTACTCGCCAAGTAAGAACGGTCTTGGCCAAAACCTGCAACAAGACAGGTACAATGGAAAAAGATAGGCGAGGGGGCAAACAAAATCTGGATCCCACACAAAAGGAAAAGATCATTACTCACTTACACAAATTCCCAAGAGTGCCATCTCACTATTGTCGTGCGAATTCAGAATTCACTTATGTTGCTCCAGACCTCACAAAGGCAATAATGTATCAATTATTTGTGAAGGAACATGGAAATTGTGCCTCACGAAGTACGTATGTAAAAGCAATGAAATCAATGAAAATCAAGATCCACAAACCAAAAAAAGACATGTGTGGATTGTGTTCAAATTACACCAATGCTCAGGGTCAGCTGAAGGAAGATCTAAAAGAGGTATACGATGCACATAGGGCAGAGGTAGAGAAGGTCAGGGGTTTGAAGGCACAGAGCAAAGAGAAAGCAATTTCATCTGACCAGTTTGCCAGTGCTGTATTTGACCTTCAACAAGTCATGTACTTGCCAAAGTCCAATAGAAGTGAAATATTCTATAAGAGACGACTTGCTTGTTACAATTTGACTGTATATGATTTTGAAAAAAGAGATGGACTTTGTTACTTGTCTAATGAAACAATAACCAAAAGAGGATCGAATGAAATTGCTTCCTACCTTCTAGACTACCTCAGAGAAGTTGACAAAAAAGGCGTAAAGGAAGTAGACTTCTACAGCGATGGATGTGCTGGTCAAAACAGAAATTCGGTCCTGCCAGCAATGGCTATGGCTTTCATGAAGGAATGTACAAATGTAGCAGTAATCACTTTTCATTACTTTGAGAAATGCCATGGGCAAAGTGAGTGTGATTCAATCCATTCCCATATAGAGCAAAGGCTCTCAAAATCACATGAACTTATGCACCCTGTCCAACTTTCCTCCATCATCAGAGAAGCTAGATCAAACCCAGGTCCTTACAGGGTCAAGTGTGTCAGGACCCAAGACATCTTGTCCTGGCGATCATACTCCCAGCAGCTGGGTATTCTTAGAACGAGGACATCGGATGAGGGTGTTTCTGTAGACTGGACTATGTTCAAACAGGTTCAGCTCAAGAAGGAATGTCCCATGCAAATCTTTTTCAAGACTTCACATTTACAGGATCAGTATAACACACTCTCTATAGGCCAGGGTCGTCGTAGAAACCCTGCACAGTCTCTACAGCTTCCTGGTCAGCTTTATGAGAGTAGACCGAAGCTCTCTCAGGAGAAGTATGGTGACCTCGTCAGTCTGTGCAGGGGATCTACTCCAGTGATAATTCAACCAGAACTTGTTGAATACTACGAAAATCTTCCTCATTGAAGCATTGAATATACATATTAATTTTCCTATATTTGTATTTGTTATAAACAGATTCTCCAGTTACATTTTTCATCAGAAGGAAGGTGATCGAGGCATACTTCTGAAAGAAGCTAAGTAACTTTATTCACATACATGTGTATTAGGTTTTTTCTTTTTAACACGGGCAACAAACTGTGCTGTAGTAACAATTGCAATTATTTTTCCATGCAGATAATGGTCCAGCATCTCTTGTCTGCATTTAATTTAACTAGAATCACATAACTGTACCTGACTGATATGTGCAGTCAGTAATTCTTAGTGTACTATTTAGATTGCAATTGCTATCATGGTTTGCAACCGCATGAATGGCTTTTTGAAAGCTTCATTTGTGTAAATCTTACTGTGCCAGTTAACAATTCATTGTGTCATTTCTTAAAGGAATAATAAGATGCATTGCAATTAGGACCTGTACTGCTGTCACAGTGATGGTCATTGAATTTTGGACTGGTTGTATTACCAGTCACAGAATAGATCCAGAGTATGGCCCTTTTCCCTTTCAACTATAAGCAGGGAAGTATATTCCACTTTCAGTCTTTTGATATACTTAAAAAAAACGAATCTTTTATTGTTGATAACATATGAATTGATCAGCAGTAAATTTAGATAAATTGGAGACATTTTAACATTTACTTATTAACACAGCTACACCTAGACTTTTACAGGAAAGGTGCTGAATGTCACACTGTGGACTGTATGCTGAACTCGTTTTGATACATTCACATATCAAATCTTTAGAATGCACACTTTTGCTCTGATCTTGGTTACTAGTTGCAGCTATTCTACCAGGAATTTTAAGATGCATTGAGTAGAAACGAGAGGACCTAAAGCCGTCGGTCCCCTGGTTGTTTACTTACTAACAAGCATTTATGCTTTCTTAGCAGTCAGGTAAATTAACAACCAGTAAAAAAAAAAGTTGTATCAATATTAAGCAGGACTTGTGCTGTCACAGTGATGGTCATTAAATTCTGGACTGGTTGTATTCCAGTCACAGAATAGATCCAGAGTACGGCACTTTTCCCCTTAAACTAATTACCTAGAATGCATACTTTTGTTGTTGAGTATGACCATTTATCTACTTTGGTCTTGGAAAACTGCCAAATTAGGGCCAACTGTTACTGTTTTCTAAAACTCATGTTTAGCAGGACTTGTGCTGTCACAGTGATGGTCATTGAATTCTGGACTGGTTGTATTACCAGTCACAGAATAGATCCAGAGTATGGCACTTTTCCTCCTAAATTGAGCAGGGACGTTTATTCCACAGTCATTACACGTCACACATTGTATGTGACACTGTAGATTGTACGCTAGACTTGTTTTCATGCAGTTACAGATCAAATTCCTAGAATGGCACTTTTGCTCTTGAGTAATACAATTTATCTATATTTTTAGAAAAAAAGCCATGATAATGATTACTTGTGTCTTTTCTTCCAGAAATTTCAAGATGCATCCAGAGCCGGTACAGCACCTCTCCTTAACAGAGTACAGCACCTCTCATTAAAGTAAGCAGGGAAGTTCATTCCGCTATCAATCTTTAGATATGCTTCGAAAAACCTTTTCTTTTATTTTTGAGAAATATTAATTGATGAGCAATACATTTTCATAAATTTGACAGGTTAGGTGGAGACATTATAATATTTACTTATTAACACTTAAACCAGGCTTTTATAGTAAAGGTGCTGAATGACACACTGTGGACTGTATGCTGAAATCGTTTTGATACAGTCACATATCAACTCTCTAGGATGCATACTTTTGTTCTTGAGTAAGACAATTTATCTACTTTTGTCTTGGAAAACTGCCAGATTATGACCAGTTGTCATTGTTTTAACATATTCCATACTAATGTTTGGCAGCTAGGACCTGTGCTGTCACAGTGATGGTCATTGAATTTTGGACTGGTATTACCAGTCACAGAATAGATCCAGAGTACAGCACTTTTTCCCTTAAACTAAGCAGGGAAGTTTATTCGACAGTCATTACACGTCACACTTTGTGTTGTCTGCTGGACTTGTTTTCATACAGTCACATATCAGATCTCTAGAATGCATACTTTTGCTCTTGAGTAAGACCGTTTAACTTCTTTGGTCTAGGAAAACTGCCAGATTAGGGCCAACTGTTACTGTTTTCTAAAACTATTCCATATCGATGTTTAGCAGGACTTGTGCTGTCACAGTGATGGTCATTGAATTCTGGACTGGTTGTAATACTAGTCACAGAATAGATCCAGAGTACGGCACTTTTCCCCTTAAACTAATACCTAGAATGCATACTTTTGTTGTTGAGTATGACCATTTATCTACTTTGGTCTTGGAAAACTGCCAGATTAAGGCCAACTGTTACTGTTTTCTAAAACTATTGCATATCGATGTTTAGCAGGACTTGTGCTGTCACAGTGATGGTCATTGAATTCTAGAGTGGTTGTATTACCAGTCACAGAATAGATCCAGAGTACAGCACTTTATTCCTTAAACTAATACCTAGAATGCATACTTTTGTTGTTGAGTATGACCGTTTAACTTCTTTGGTCTAGGAAAACTGCCAGATTAGGGCCAACTGTTACTGTTTTCTAAAACTATTGCATATCGATGTTTAGCAGGACTTGTGCTGTCACAGTGATGGTCATTGAATTCTGGACTGGTTGTAATACTAGTCACAGAATAGATCCAGAGTACGGCACTTTTCCCCTTAAACTAATACCTAGAATGCATACTTTTGTTGTTGAGTATGACCATTTATCTACTTTGGTCTTGGAAAACTGCCAGATTAAGGCCAACTGTTACTGTTTTCTAAAACTATTGCATATCGATGTTTAGCAGGACTTGTGCTGTCACAGTGATGGTCATTGAATTCTAGAGTGGTTGTATTACCAGTCACAGAATAGATCCAGAGTACAGCACTTTATTCCTTAAACTAATACCTAGAATGCATACTTTTGTTGTTGAGTATGACCGTTTAACTTCTTTGGTCTAGAAAAACTGCCAGATTAGGGCCAACTGTTACTGTTTTTCTAAAACTATTGCATATCGATGTTTAGCAGGACTTGTGCTGTCACAGTGATGGTCATTGAATTCTGGACTGGTTGTATTACCAGTCACAGAATAGATCCAGAGTACGGCACTTTTCCCCTTAAACTAATACCTAGAATGCATACTTTTGTTGTTGAGTATGACCGTTTATCTTCTTTGGTCTTGGAAAACTGCCAGATTAAGGCCAACTGTTACTGTTTTCTAAAACTATTGCATATCGATGTTTAGCAGGACTTGTGCTGTCACAGTGATGGTCATTGAATTCTGGACTGGTTGTATTACCAGTCACAGAATAGATCCAGAGTACGGCACTTTTCCCCTTAAACTAATACCTAGAATGCATACTTTTGTTGTTGAGTATGACCGTTTAACTTCTTTGGTCTAGGAAAACTGCCAGATTAGGGCCAACTGTTACCGTTTTCTAAAACTATTCCATATCGATGTTTAGCAGGACTTGTGCTGTCACAGTGATGGTCATTGAATTCTGGACTGGTTGTATTACCAGTCACAGAATAGATCCAGAGTACGGCACTTTTCCCCTTAAACTAATTCCTAGAATGCATACTTTTGTTGTTGAGTATGACCGTTTATCTTCTTTGGTCTTGGAAAACTGCCAGATTAAGGCCAACTGTTACTGTTTTCTAAAACTATTGCATATCGATGTTTAGCAGGACTTGTGCTGTCACAGTGATGGTCATTGAATTCTGGACTGGTTGTATTACCAGTCACAGAATAGATCCAGAGTACGGCACTTTTCCCCTTACTCTAATACCTAGAATGCATACTTTTGATGTTGAGTATGACCATTTATCTACTTTGGTCTTGGAAAACTGCAAGATTAAGGCCAACTGTTACTGTTTTCTAAAATTATTCCATATCGATGTTTAGCAGGACTTGTGCTGTCACAGTGATGGTCATTGAATTCTGGACTGGTTGTATTACCAGTCACAGAATAGATTCAAAGTACGGCACTTTTCCCCTTAAACTAATTACCTAGAATGCATACTTTTGTTGTTGAGTATGACCATTTATCTACTTTGGTCTTGGAAAACTGCCAGATTAAGGCCAACTGTTACTGTTTTCTAAAACTATTGCATATCGATGTTTAGCAGGACTTGTGCTGTCACAGTGATGGTCATTGAATTCTGGACTGGTTGTATTACCAGTCACAGAATAGATCCAGAGTACGGCACCTTTCGCCTTAAACTAATTACTAGAATGCATACTTTTGTTCTTGAGTAAGACAATGTATCTACTTTGGTTAGTGAAAACATGCCAGATAACCAATTTGTTATTACTTTTCTTTATAACAATAAAATATAACAGTGATTGTGTCGCTGTGGTGATGGCGATCCTTGAAATGAAATTGAAGTTGTATATATGAATTGATCATTCCTATTGCAGTCATTAATTAGTACCTAAACATTTATAGTGGAGATGGAGGTAATTGATGTTTTGACTAATTCTAACGCATTCACAATTAAAATAGATAGCAGGTCTTTTCAGGAGAGAATTGATATGATGAATTGAATCATAAATTGTGTACATTTATTTTAGTTAAGTTGTTACCATCTTCTATAAAGTTTAACAAACAAAATAACTAAAGAGAAAATCTAACAGCATTCTATACATGAAAGGTACACTATTGGTTGTATACATGTTTTATATGACTGGGATGTAAGAAGATTTTAAATTATTTTTCTGAAAGTTGTATGAGGTACTTCATTTTCCAAATAAATGCTTTATTTTTTATTCTGGATTATTATCAATAATTGTATATCTACAAAATTAGATGTTGGCTTATGTCTTGAAATCAAAGAAAATCTATGTTCTGTAAATGACATTGAATGAAGGCCCTTGCATTTATCAGTGATACTTGATGTTAATTGAGAATATAAGGGAAATTAAATTTGACAGTGCTTTCTTAAAAAAAGATAGAAAGAAAGTTGTATGATACGGACACAGCAACACAGGGGGTAAGCAGGGCAGAGGTCTCCTTGATATACCTTGTATCTGAGATTTGAAAATAATATTCCTCACCTCCTGGCAGAGCTAGGGGTAACCTAGTCTCTTTTTCTTTTTCCTTTCTTCCATTCTCGTATAACAAAGTGACTGTTTTTCCCTCCCTAACAAAATACCCTGGTGCCACTCCTAGTATGACTTATTGAATGTTCAATCTTAATCACTTATTCTCTTATATTCACAACTGACATTTCTATATGCAATTTGTTTAAACTGGAAGTTTATTCTTTTTTTCAGTATTCATGGATAAATTGTATAGTACAAGGCCGTTAAGTGAATTAATATATATATATATATTGAAACTGCAAAAAAATTATAATTTAACTTATGAATTCAGAACTGTAAATAAATTAAGCATTTTATCAAAACTGAAATGTATGTTTTGTTCACTTTGAAGTTAATGAGCAAAGGTATGCTAGAAGAGGTTTGAGAGTAAATCAAATGAAATGAAATGAGAGTGCAATGAGTGTCATGGTTTGAGTCAGATTTTGGGGGTATGAGGGGGGGGGGGGAAATGAAAGAACAGAAATTGACCATTAAGGTATGATGTCATTGGAACACAATCATGAGGGGGCTGTCGAGGATGACTTGTGAGAGTGTAGCATTTATAAATATATATGTTCAAATATGTTAATGAATATCTTTAAAAAACAAAACAATTATGAAATTATATGAACTTTCGCCAAATCTTGTAATTTGTCATATGCATGCAGTTTGATAGTTGGAGCTGCAGCATTTATTCTTTGGAATTTTTTAACAATTAGATAGATATGACGAGTATTTCTTTAAGTGATAAATCAAGTTTTAACCAAATGGAAATATTTAAGATTAAATATGTAGAAAATATAGATAAAATAGTTTAATGATAGACGAAAAGTAAGGGGTAGGAAGAACAAAATAGAAAATATGAAGTCTAGTATTTCGGGAAATGTCATATAAAGATTGCTTAAAATAAGCATTTATTCGCATGTGAAAAATTACCTGGAGAGGCTTAATATTTCATAAAATACTCTCTCGAGCATTTTTTTTGGATAATTATAATTAAACTCATTATTATTAGGAGTATAGTAAATATTATTATTCGTGCATTAATTACCAAAAACTAAGTGACTTTACGAAGCGTCCTTAACCATACGCGTAGTATGCGCTTGTGTTGCGCGCATACGTTTCGTGACTTTACGAAGCGTCCTAAACCTAAGTTGCAACACCATCAAATCACGCGCATTCAATTTATGATTTTACGAAGTGACCTAAATGCTTATTGCGAGAAAATCAGCAGTTGCTGAAATGCCGCGATATGTTTTTCTACAATTATCATATTATTAAATTGAATTCATGCAAAAAATGGTGCAATATTACAAAACTAGAGAAGTTATGCTTTACATTGATATCAAACAAAACGAAAGGTTTCTGTAAACATCTGAGTAACGAGCGTCGGCAAAATGCTCTAACTTTTGAAGCGATTTTCTCCACAGTTTAGTTTTGCCTTTAAAAGGGGTTTATGACGGTTCGTAAAACCGCCGACGATATCCTGAACTTTTCTTTTTCTTTCAGACTAGAAACAATTTTCATAA